GTTTACAAGTCATTTTTAGGAGGGGGGTGATCCTTTTTCCAACTCAGTGATTCTGTTTTTTTTTTGTTTTTGTTTTTTTCTTACGTGTTGGTGTTGTATCTTTTACTTGGAATTAAAAATCAGCTGGATAAAACAAAAAATGCAAAGCAAAGCAACAAAATTTGATATATATATATATTAGGGGTGGAACGGTTCGCTGAAAAAAAACGGTTCGACACGCGCTAGGACCGCGGTTCAACTTAAATCTGACAATGCATCTGTAATATGGTTTGCTATAAATAACACGTAAAAAACAAACTGGGTTCAGCTAATATATGTTTCTGTTGATGGATGCGCATTCTGGCTTTCCAATACATTACAACAGCGATGAAAAATAAAACGTGGACAAACCATTCACTCTTGTTCAATGCGAATGCCGTATGCTGGAATATGAGCAGTCATTTATTCTGTCATCGTGCTGATAGCGCGCGTGCAGCAGCACACGTTGATATCTGTGTTTAAAGTAAACTCATTTAAGCTTTGCCAGTTTATACATTTAAGAGGATGCGAGCTCGCATGCGCAGTGAGAAGACTTGTGTGTGCGCTCATCCGAAGCAAGCAAAAATCTTAAGCTCTTTCTGAAGTATCGTATTTAAATGGACAAATTCACACAAAAATTATGTCAAAATGCCTGTCTTGGTAAATATCCTATAGCAGCATAGCCGGCTGAACGACATACAGTATCAGTGCACTGGATCAGTGCATTCTCTTAAAGTGACAGCACTTTCTTAATATTAATCAAACAGCAACAAAGAAATCACTCACTGCTCTTGATTGAATAGCTTTTGTAACTTTAATAAAGATTAATCTTTAATTTATACAGTCAAATATGCAATGCTGTTTTACATTTCATTACTTTATTCAATTTCTGTATGTTAGACCTACCTAAAAAAACTGAAAATCACCGTTTATTTTACTTGTATCTTTACTCTATTGTATTTATTTCTGCTGTTGCTTGTAGTTAGATAGATTATTCTTATTTTCTTTATTTTTATTTGACAGTATA